TTTTACATCTAAACAAAAGCATTCAAGTAAGAGAAACAAATGATCAAATGTAAAAATCCCTTTAGTCTGTTAATTACAAATAAATTGATTATTAAATCTACAAAAGCAGTTCAATCTTTTATTGTTAGATTAACATTGAGGCGGCCTATATTAAGACCTACTGTAATGCACGGATCTAATATAATGCAACACATCAGATGTTTTTCCCCAACAGTTCCCCAAACGTTCACTTAAGACATAACAGATTGTTTGCGTGAATACTTAAATACTGTAATTCTGTGTATATGTGTATCGGGAGCGCCTTTATGTGCAAGCTTCGGATGACAGTCAGCGTGAGAAACGAGTGGGAAAAAAGGTACTCCTCACAGAAAACATACAAATAAAGGTAATTAAACATCTAAAATTATTATTTTGAGCATTGGGATCGCTAGACGGGGGCTTAATGAGCTCATTTTTGTGAAAACCTCAAAATCGACTTACATCAACATTTTAAAAATGTTTTGCCTGTAGCTCAAAATTAGCCCGTGCGCATTCCGACTCATTTTGCCAGCATGGGTCAGGGTCACATATAAATGTGATCCATGCCACGCAAGCAGCTCATGACAGAACACAGACTGGCTGAATGACACTTTAATTTTAGCAGAATGTCTCACATGGAGATCACTAAAGTCCAGATTACTTGTTTGTTAGCGTTTTCAGATCATAGGTGCTCCTGCAATGTAGATTGAGCGCACACACATGGTTGCCAAATTGCAAAAATAAGTTAAACACCAGGCCGCAAATGTATGCTTGTATCTGCAAATGTATCTGCAGATGTATCCAGAGGAGCTCTGATTAGGGTATTTGAACTCTTTGATATTTGGCAACCGCAAACATGAAAGCTCGCATAGTAGAGGCATGTACAACAGTCCATAATATTTGTCTCTTCTTTTTTTTTTCTTCCCCCAAATAATAAAAGATTTTGGTAAAGTTTTTATTTTTTTATTACATTTTAGTCTCGTCTTTTATCGTCAACTATATTACATGTTGATATAGTCACAGTTATCGTTTATTGGCTGTATTGTCTTAGCTGAATAGCTAGTTTCCTAGAAAACTTTTATTTTATTTTACTTAAGTTTTTTATTTGACATTTTGTGCATGACCTTCATAGCATTTTTCCCCCCAGTGTTAAGAAGCCCAATAATGTCACTCCAATTCACTTGGAGCCAGCACCTAAAGAGGAGGGACCTCCTGTGGAACAGATTTAGAATGGTCCTAATCCCACCCAAAGGGCCTTTTACTAACCACTAACAGACCTAATGGGCCTTGTGTTACTCTTCAGGCCAATGCAAGACAAAAGGGGTGAACTATAGGATGAACCTGACTGAACCGTCCTGAGCCTCTAGGAACTACAGGCTTTTGAAACTAGAATGATATAAGTGTGGATTTCTAAAAATGGTGTGTGATGTGACCTCTTTTGGTGGTATGTATTTTACAGTGAGAGATTTTCCTGGGGTCATGACATTTCATATGTGTTTATGCTGGAAGGTTTGACATTAGAAAAGAATTGCTAGATGTTTTAAAGTATTACTGGTACTATAATAAAAGCCAGAGCTTGTTTGCGTTACTGAATTGTGACAGCAGATACCGTCAAACCAGGACACTGCGAAAAAGGGATTAAGAGGATATGGCAGACATAAGATACTTTTTTAACACTACTGAGTGCTTTGGGCCATCCTGCGCATATGTTTGAACTTGCGTCTATTTATTTTGTCAATATTAAGATAACTAGGTTTTTACTTAATGAATTAACTTTTACACAAGAAAAAATGCGTTAAGAAACAAAAGGCTTAAATTTGTTTACAAATTAAACCATGTACAGACATATATTTTTAGAACAAAATATGATCATATTTTTTAGTATTTCTATTGGTTTGAGTACTTCAGTGGCAAAAGCACTATCCATTAACTACATATAATGACCTATATTGGACTGCACATTTGAGAGAAAAAAAAAGTTTTAAACTTATGTAATTGATTTTTTTTTATGTTGTGCTATGATGGCCCTCCAGCAACAGCTTTAAGAATCCTCTTTCCTGGAGAATGTCAGGTGATGCTGCTTAGGTGAGATTTATATGTCCACACAGCCACTAAAAAGCCTTATAGGAGTAGAGTGGAGGATTAACACTTGAAATCAGTGCAATCTCAGCTGCATCGTAGATCTGCCCTGTGCTAACGTGAGTTACTGTATGTGAAGATAATGGTGAAAAATTAATTTCTCATGCAATAATGTCCAAATCATTTCATGGAGGAGATTTCAGATTAGATTGTTGTGGGTTTCAGGGTTTCAGTGATCGGTACTGATGTTGCTACAGACGTTTTATTTGTGGTGCCACTAAATATTTTCAAAGTATCTGGAACTTGTGCAATACCATAATAGAAATGTTTTTCATCTCAACATATTATTTTGTACAAGTTTGCAGAGATTGTGTCTAATATGTTAACCGGATTCTTCAACATTTTTGTATATCTGAGTAGTTAAAAATGATTGGTTTTCTTACAGAAAATAAAGCTGTTTTCTTACATTGTTTTCCCTCTGTCCATTTTTTATTTCCATGGTTATGTCTTTGAATTATGGTTGCAAGCAGACAATTATATAGGTTATTTGTTTCTTAATGTTTTTAGGATGCACAGTACAGTCTTTTTTTAATTTATTAATTTATTTATTTAGAATTCTATTGGAATGATATCTAATAATTATAGATGTAATATTTCCATAAAACGGCTTAAAATCAGTGGTTCAACTTTTTGTGACTTGAAGGCCCCATGTAAGCTAAGATATGTCCAGTATTTTAACCAATTATGACGGCAACGGGGAGTACTCCTATATTTAATTCACCAAGATTTATTTTGTGATTCCAGAAGTTTTAAGATATAAGCTGTATGTTCACCAATAAAAACAAGTAGTTATTAGAAGGCGGGGGAGGGGTGAGAAATATAATTTCAGTTTATATCTTGCTTTTTTTTCTTCTTTAGAGCGATTTAAATTAGTTCGATTATTTTAATACATCAGTGATTAATGCATGTATTTAAATTTCCTTCAGGACCTTTGGAAGTTTGCTGAGGCTTTGCTGCTATCAAATTGGCTATTTCCTTAACTTAGAATTGCATTTATGCATTTTTGCAGATAGTTTGTTTATTTTTCAAAAGAATAATATTTTTAACATTTTTTTTAATTATTATTTCCTGTTCGATAAGTAGACAGCACAGCAGGCAAATTATGTGGAAAATTGGAGCAGCCACAAAGGAAATGGTGTGACTATTGAAATCAATGCAAATTTAGTGTGGCTGATCCCTTGCTTAAATGATTCTACTGTGTGTGCCAATGTTGTTTGGCTATTTCGTCATGATGCAGACCGTCAGCTAAAGTAGTTGTTTTTGTAGAGTGAAATGTAGTGTGTGAATCTTTAAAGTCACAAACTCTATGCAATATTGTGTATAAATGTTATTTAAAACTCTATTAATTCATTATTATCTATACTATTGAAATCAGTGGGGTAGGTTGTCACACTTTGCTTGTTTGACTTTCATTATAAGGGATTCTTAGAGGAACTGGACTGACTCATGCTTTCATGTTACATTTTATTTAGTATCAATTGTACCAAAAGAACAAGTTATCCTCCTCAGTCAGTCTCTTACATAGATATATCTTCAGTGGGTTAGGTATAGTTTTGTGTGGTGCTAAAATGCATTATTTATAACACATTCTCCACAAACACTTTTCTTATCTCTCCCTAAACTAATTTTAATGTATAAGAACAGCTTGTGTGACATGAAGCATTTCAGTGCGAAACAATTATGGCTTCTCTATGCAAATGAGCTCGGGTTATAAAATTACTTTATCATGTAGAAGGGGATACAGCAACATTTTTATTTCATGAATTGCATTACATTACATACTCAGAATAAAATTATTGTTTATGTAACTTCCAATTTCAAAATCAATTAACCAACAATTTTATCATCCACTTCAGCTCGTTAACATGATACAACTGAAATCCTACAATAAATAATGGCATAATATCTACAGTATTATCTACAGTTAAAGTATTAACTAATCTTTGCCAGCTTGTAGCATAAAGAAAAGATGCATATACATAAAACTAGTAAGATGAGACTTTCAGGTGGCTTTTTTCTCCAGGTAGCAATAGAGGTACATAGACACCCCCATCGCTGCCACCTAGAAAAAAAAAAAAAAACATTGTCATCTGTGGCATATGATTGAAGTGCCTAACAGGCATAAGTACATTTAAATGCATTTGGAAACAATGAAGATAATAACAATTTCTACAGCTTGTGCTGGACATGCAAAGTGGAAAATTGTTCTGTATACCAAACTAGCCTTAACCAATCATGATAAAGGCTACAGTCAACTGCCAACATAAACCCAGTACACTTCTACCAAACCATATGTTATTTGAACAGCATGATGGATGTGTTGTGTTTACCTCAATGGCAGTGACTCCAGCAGCTATTCCTCCCATAATGTTGACGTTCCTCTGGATGATCTGAACAATTTGTTTAAAACAGCCCTGGGAAGAGAAACCAATATAAGATGAAAGGGCCCAAATCATATAACCACATCTCTGTAATACACAGGGGTGCAGGAGTGATCTGAAAAGTGGTGGGGGGTCATATTTATATGCCTTATCAGCATGGCTCATGAATATTAATTAGGTGACATATCATTCGCCTAGTAAGGCTGAAAAAATGGTAAGTGGACAGCAGTCATAGTTGTTTATGGTTCCTTTAGCCAATCAGAGCTGTCAAGACATAATTTTCGTGCGACTCCATAATGATTGGCAGAATTTAGACCGCATACTACTGTTACTATTTCTACCATATATTTCTATAGCATAGTAAGAGTAGTATGCTAGTACACGGTTCCAAATTCAGCTCTTATGTGCCCTTAAAGGGTTAGTTCACCCAAAACTTAAAATTAGTCCATGAATTACTCACCCTCGAGGCATCCTAGGTGCATATGACTTTCTTCTTTCAGATGAATCCAATCGGAGTTATATAAAAAAATGTCTTTGATCTTCCAAACTGTTTAATGGCAGTCAGCGGGTGTTGCAGTGCATCAGTCCAAAAGAAGTGAAATAAAGCACATCCATTCATAATAAAAAGTGTCTCACATGGCTCCGGGAGGTGAACAAAGACCTCCTGTAGTGAATCGATGCATTTTTGTAAGAAAAATATCTATATTCAAAATGTAATAATCACTTTAATCTAGCTTGCACCAACAGTTGTACACGGAAGCAGCTCCGGCAGGATGACGTATCATGGGCTTCATGGGCTAATTTTCATTTTTGGGTGAACTAACCCTTTTAACGTGGCGTCTGAAATATTGTAATTGCGAGTTCAGAGCACAGGAATTACTGAGCAAAGTCTCATTTACGAGCGGGAAGCTTAGAATTCTAGATTTGAGTCCATTTGAAACAATGTAGAAACACCAAACTGATCTCTCAGGAAAACATAACTAATTTGCGAGGTGGTGATTTTGTATGAATTTGTATGATATGAAAAACATAAGCATGAAGGTCCACCCCTAACCTCACCCCTAAAGCTAAATGACATAACCGAGTTTGGCGATTTTGCTAAATTTTACATTTCATTTACACGGTGCATATTTCAATTCTTCCATCATTTCAAATTTAGACATAGTTATCTGGCAACTTCTGTTTTATGTCTCTGACTTGAATGCGTGACTTAGAGGTATGAATTTCCCAGGTGCATTTGAATGCAGCATCAATCATATGCCATTTATGACCACAAAAATAATTGTCAGAATTATTGTAAATATGAGTTGGCAACTTCATAATTCCAACTGGGAACCAGAGATCATTTTAGAGATGGGATGACCTATATATAACCTTTCAACATGCGGAAGCAGATAACCGTTTCAGTAGTAGTCTAAATGTTAGTTAATTATTAATTTCACAAAATACAGTTACATTTTTAGCATTTTGTGTGTTTTTTTTTTTACATGGAGAAAAGCATATGTGTTACCAAGTAATAGGTCCCACATACTCGATTCATTCTCAGCCTGCAAGATTTTTTTCTTCACACACCAGCTGCGACTTATAGAATATAATGATTATTTGCCAAAAAACAGCAAGTTGCTACACCTCTGGTAATACAATACCTACTAGCAACTTTAAACATGTCCAAACTCTTGCTAGCTTTTGCAGTGGGATTATTTGATAGAACTGTGAAGGTTCTGTATGTTTCTCACCACCACACCACTGAAATCTGCGTTGTCGTCGTCACAGAGGAAGAGCTCAGGACCTGCACAACAGGTAGGAGGGTAAAGGGCCCCATTCTTCTTATAGTAGTAGGATTCAGAGAAGTCTGTGTAGTTACTGAAGCCACAGCACTGCAACTATTGCACAATGAAAAGCAAGAACAGTCAGTTGCATATAGTATTTTCACAAATATTGCTTTGTACAGCTAACATATCTACATATGTTTCCATGATATACAGTATGTGCATTGATCTGTAAAGCTCTTGAAGGATTTTCATTAGCCTGTAAAACTCTTGGCAGTCTGTTTAGTAATTCATTTTCACACTTACTGTCAACCACACCATACTGGTTTTAAGGGCACTTTTAACCAGGAAATTTGACATGATGGATTAATTTTATTTGACCTGTACAGAAAAGCCTGAGGCGCAGATCAATACTCATGTATGTATGTATTTGGTTGGCTGTGGCTTACTGTTGTCATGGTTGAGTTCCACAAGTCTGTGAGGATTTTATCTTTCCCATACTGCTCCTTCAGTCCAGGTGTGGCCCATGCTCTTAGAATGATTTCAGTCTTTTAAAATCACAGATAAAGATAAACAGGGACACATGAAAAGTCAGAAAGGAATGGAAACTAGCAGATGAAAAATCTTCCACAAACATACACTTTTTAAAGCAAACTGCTTTCACCATTGTGTCTCCATCAAGGTTGTTAGCAATGACATTTATCATAGCTAAATGAAACAAAGGCTAGGCAGTAAAGTCATTTCTCTGCAACGCAATTCTTACTAGTCAATCGTAAGTTTATTTTCTCATATATTGATACTCGTGGATATCAAAAATTTGCATTTATTTGTCAATTAATTTGAAAAACATTCTAAATGTATGAATGTTAGGGCTGTCAAAGTTGCATTCAGATTATTTAATTTAATTTTCTGGTAACACTTTACAATAAGTTTTTATTTGTTAGCATTAGTAAATAAATTAGTTATGAACTAACAATGAACCATACTTCTAAAGAATTTACTCATCTTAGCTGATGTTATTTCAACCATAACTAATACATTTTTTAAAATCAAAAGTCATATCTGTTAATTTTTTGAATGGACCTGAGCTAATATGAACTAACAATTTTTTATAAACTACTTTAACAAAGATGAATAAATACTGTAAAAAATCTATTGCTTGTTGTCATTTAATGTTAAACATTTAAAATTTAACGCATTTGTTGTAAAGCATAACTAATGGGGCCTAATTTTAAAGTTTTACCCTTTTTAACACCATTAACACAATTTTACATCATTCTTGTTTATCAGTAAACTATGAAGAAGTCTGACTTTTTTTAAACTTTTAAATTACCAGTAAATGTGAAAGACAGACTTCTTCATAAAAGTACTAACTTATGAATCAAACTTTGGTAGGGTATTTAAAGTTATTTTTAGATCTTTATATTTTTAAATTTAGTCATTATCGAAGCTCAGCAAGTGAAAAATCACTTCGAATGCAGTGGAGCAGGTCAGTCAGCGGTAAAAGCAACTTTACACATGTAAGCCACACATGTGTGCTACAGTATTACTTAATTAAAGAACATTTGCACAAAAATCTGTTTGCATGTCCTGAGCCTATTATTTATATTATTTAATATGTTTAGAACTGAATGCATGATATATGGAAAAATAGTGTATGTGAATGCACTGTGGTTGCATATGCTTTGTAAAGTAAAATCTCCTCTGTGTTGCATGCTTGCAGTTTCTTTATCTTTCTCTCTCTTTTCTTACTTTCCCCCTTATTAGTTGGAATTTGATTAATAAATCCAGATGAATTTTAGTCACACAAGGACTCTGTTGCTAAGTGTTACATGTGTGTGTGTGTGTGTGTGTGTGTGTGTGTGTGTGTGTGTGTGTGTGTGTGTGTGTGTGTGGTGTGTGTGGTGTGTGTGTGTGTGTGTGTGTGTGTGTGTGTGTGTGTGTGTGTGTTTGCTGGGAAAGGTGGGGTCAGCAAGAGTGGTCTTCAGCACAGCATGCCTGTGGGGATGTGCAGACAAAACACAATTAAAAGTGCTCCCCCTCCCACCTATATGAAGCAGTGGAAGCTACACAGATCAGTAGAGCTATTACATGCAAGCTAATCCATCAATGTCTGGAGGAATTCCCTCACAATCTAGACAGGACAAAGCGCTGTAAGGCAATAGAACGATTACTAATTGCTGATCTGAGACCAGTGTGTATGAAACAGAATGCCATTTAAAGGGGTCATATGATGCGATTTCAATTTTTCCTTTCTCTTTGGAGTGTTACAAGCTCTTGGTGCATAAAGAAGATCTGTAAAGTTGCAAAGACTAAAGTCTCAAATCCAAAGAGATATTCTTTATAAAAGTTCAGAGTCAGCCACGTGCCGGGGCTTCTGCTCACGCTAGGCCACTGTGTTTTTCGTTGTGAAAGCGAAACTACTTAGTTTGGTCTTCCAAGAGGACACGACTACAAATCAGTTGTTAAGTTGTATTTACCACACTTTTCCAGAACAGTTTAACCCAAATATCCAGATGTGTGCAGCACATTTTATGGAGGACTGTTTACTGATCCTGGGAGAGTCATAAACACATTTCATTACACCAAATACACAAAACAATGTTCTTTTTAGCAGCATCATATGACCCCTTTAAAACATCAACTGAAAGTAATACAACATAAGAATGTAAATTCGATGTGCTTTGACTTATCATAACAGCAATCTTTAATTTAAAGAGTGAAAATGTTATTGCCCAACAACACCACATCAGCACAATGGAATCGAAATGTTATTGAAATGGGAGTGATTACATTTTAGATCACACAGTAAACAGCTGTGACCAATTGAACATTAAAAACGCAATCTCCATAACGATTTGGCTTATTCTGTAACAATTTTACATATTAATGTAAACATGTAATGCTATTCAAATTCATATTGTGTGATTGTTATGACTTTGTGAAGCCTATTTCTTATCAAAAATACAACGAGGCAGCTGCTCTTAGACTTGCACATGAATTATTAAAACACCAATTTCTTCTGTCAGGAAAATAAATAAATGAATGGATAAAAGTGTGATGGTGACAAACAGCAAATTAAATGGGTATTTGCATGCTTAATGTTCCTCTGAACGATTTAGGTGATCTATAATTCACTGGAATGTCATGCACTTTTCCTTTCTGGTGACTCCCTAGTAGCATTAAGCGCTCTGGCTTGTTGATGAAGTACCGCGTTTCATCCAGATAGCTATAAATGATGTTTCATGAACAAACTGATTCTACGCTTGCATAAATACCTAGAAGACTATTTTAAATCTCAATGGAGTAGAACCACAATTACCAAAAAACACAAAGACAGTTTGGTTAAAAAGTATAAGCTTCTATTTTGGCTTTATACTCTTTTCTTTTTCATTACAAATTATAGCATAGCAATGAGTGAAACTGAGCCTCACTTATAATTTCTCAGTATTTTGCATGATATAGTAAGTTGTGTGTTAATCATGTTATCCAGCATGATTTGAGAATGTTTTTGTGCTGCAGTAAGAATATCTGACTTTGAATTAACATGTGTGTAATATATATGTTGGTTTTTCATGTTTTGAACACCAGATTTTCAATGTAGTCATAGGTTTGAACCCTGTTATATATAGTATCAGATATATATTATTTTTCCTGTATAGGTTTATCTATTCATATGCATTAAATGAGATTGCTGTCTGTTAAATGGAATTCAATTTTAAAATTTTGCCCTAAAAGGCCTTTGTGTTTTTAATTAAATGGCATTATTCTCTTAACATACCCTCCATAACTCATTGAAAGTTGTTGTAATTATTATACATTTCACTAAATGGGTGAAGCTCTGTATGTAAATCGCCTGTTTTGCATATAAAATGCTTAAACGTCAATATTGTAGTGCGATAAATTGCTCAAAGTGAGAGTGCTGGCATAGTGCCTGAGGTAATCTGGGAGTTATTAAGTGGCTGAATGTGCTGGAGCCATTTCAAACCCCCTAATTTAATGATGGCCAGAGTATGATGAGAAATTTACATGCAGCTAAAATGAAAAGAGGGACAAAGAGTGTGTGGGGGGATGGGGAGGATTGGCAGAGAGGTCAGTGGTTTCAAGCGAGACTCACGTATGAAGAATAGACCAGGGCTACTATTGTGGCTGCCGTCTCAGCAATGCAAATGATCAGGATAATGGAGAAGAACTGTTAGCACAGAGAAAGACAAAGAGAGTGAACATATTAACAAAACTTGAACGTAAAAACTTTTTTTGACACTTGATATTACACTCTTAAAAATAAAGGTGCTTCAAAAGGTTCTTCAAGCGATGCTATAGAAGAACCATTTTTGGTTCCACAAAGAACCATTCAGTCAAAGTTTCTTTAAAGAACCATCTCTTTCTTACCTTTTTATAATCTGAAGGACCTTCTTTCACCACAAAGAACCCTTTGTGAAACAGAAAGGTTCTTCAGATGTTAAAGGTTCTTTATGGAACCATTTGGGCAAAAAGGTTCTTCTATGGAACCATTTGGGCAAAAAGGTTCTTCTATGGCATCGTGAAGCACCTTTATTTTTAAGAGTGTAGGTAATAAAATGAATGAGATTTACCATTATAAGAAGGCATTTGCTCTCTTTCTGAGCTCCACAGCACCCCAGCAGTCCAAGCAGAGTCATAACTGCTCCAATAGTGATGCTGAAGATTCCTACATTGACATGACTCTGGAAATCATCAGTGAAGGGTGGCAAAACTTTCATAAAGGAATCTCCGTCCACTGTCACCCATATCCCTGCAGCCGCCAAACACATACCTGCCAGCTGTCAAAAAATGTTTTTCACTTTTTACTTCCACAAATTCACAATTGCATTTTAATAGTGATATGCTAATGCTTAGATACAAATAGGATAATATATACAGTCACTCTGTCATCAGAGCTGTAACCACCACAATGAGGTGAGCAAGTCCCCCTCCCCAATAATCAGACATGGCCAAATATTCCCCCAATAATTGATATTCTTGATGCTAACTGATGCAATCCATTACAAACTACTGTCTATGTTGTAACATGACAAAAAGGGATCTGCATCAATGGACTAACTGCGCAAAATAAAGCAGTAAGCCCCAAAAAGCTAAGGGGCAAAACAGCGAAGGGGAGTTAGGCACATGCTTGTGGCCATAGCTGGCAAGGTTTCATATTAAACACATAGCAACAAAAATTTGATAATTTAATGATAACAAATCATCCTTCTACCAAGCAATGTAGTTGTTCAGCATGTTTAGCAGAATGGCCAAACAAAACGCAGACCCAGTGGCACAGTAATACTGATGTAATAAGGTCAGCCCATTTTATGACCAAAAAAGAAAAAAAAAACTTTTTTAATAGAATGCCAAAAGAGTAAATAATAATAATAATAATAATAATAATAATAAAATAATTGTAAAATAAATAAATAATAATAATAATAACAGAGCCATTTTTGGCATATAGGCATAACCTATGTTTAAGAGTGTCTGTGTGCACATTTTAAAATAAAAATATACTTTGAAGTTATTTCAAATGATTACAGTAAGTTATAGTTTTAGCTATACTTTTACTATTTTCCTTTCCTTTCCTTTTTCATTATTTCTTTAAAATGTGCAGTCACATTAGCGAAATTTAATGGGCAAAATGTTTTATTAACAGCTCACACAGAAGTCACTTTTAAACCAAGCTGCTTTCTAATGGTCCACGCGGCAAATCCGCGTGACCAATTTGCGAAATCTTTGATATCATATAATATTCCCTGCGCAAATTACGCATAGTATGAAAATGACCTTATTTTGCTAAAAACATTTGCCAAACAATAGTAAATGTGACCGCAACTTGTTCCAGTGTCACTATCAGCCACCCAACACACAGAGATGGCTTTTGTTGCGTTTGAATTAAACAACAGCGAGAGAGTTTGCGAAAAGGAATGTAGCAAATGTACCGGGTAAGTGATTTTTTGCTGTTCTTAATCACAATTTTCAGTCCTCAAAATCCTTTTAGTAAACGAATTAAGCAAATATCTTAGAAGAAAGGTTTGCCAACTATATCAAGGTCAGTAATGTGACCAGCTCTTTTACAATACAAATCTTTTGTATCTTTCAAAACAGACTGTAGTCTGATACTGTGTGACATAGTGCTAAACACAGATTATCACTCATATTTTAGTTCATGAAACATCATCATCATACCTCATGCTCAAATTACTTTGCTGTAAGCTCCAGTTCATATAAAAGCATTATGACCACAGGCGAGTATCAGTTGTAGTCATGTGGATTCGGCTCCTTTATCTTTTGCATTTTCCCATGACTTTTTATTCTCACCATTACGCTGTACGATAAGAGACCCTGCATGGATTTCCCATTAGTGCCAGAGTGTATCTGAGCTATGTGTGTTCTTCCATAGAAGTAGGTCATTCAACAATGGCAATGACTCAATAGAAAACTAAAGGGTGCCTTTAAAGGGATCATATGATGCTGCTAAAAAGAACATTATTTTGTGTATTTGGTGTAATGAAATGTGTTTATGTGGTTTAAGGTTAAAAAAACACATTATTTTCCACAATCCCTGCCGGTACGAGACTCGAACCTGCAACCCGTTACGAGTCAGACTCTCTAACCATTAGGCCACGACTTCCCTATTTACAGATCTTCTTTATGCACCAAGAGCTTGTAACACTCCAAAGAGAAAGGAAAAATTGAAATCGCATCATATGACCCCTTTAATGACCACAAGCCTGCAGGATTAGATGCTCAGCTGCTCATTTATGCCACTTCCAGGACGCTTTGCAGACAAGAGGTCTGACACATAACCAGGTCTGGTTATGGCATGGGTTTCCTGGGGTAATGATGGACACACAATGTTGTTGTCATTATGTGTCTTCTGATGTATCAAGATCCAAGTGCAACACCATGGTTGGATTATTTAACTGTGGGATGTAGAAGAGGTTTATTCAAAGGCTCTGCCTATTTAATGCGATATCTCCAAGCAGAATGATATGCATCCAGTCGGATATCAAAAGGTCTAAGCCCCAGAACACATTTGGTGGTGGTTTGGGTTAATGAATGGTTTGGTGTCAGCATGTTAATTCAAAATTGGTGCAATAACCATCTCTGAAACCTGATATGTTCTGTCAGACACAATCACAACTGTCAGGGCAACTCACATCCAGCTCAGCTGGCTGACAGCTGAACATGAAACGCTCAATATTCCTTCCTCATCAACGTTTATTTTTTCCATGTGAGAATAATTTTAATTTTATCATTTCCCATTTGCGCTCATGGAGCTTTGGGAATTGTCTGAATGTTTTAGCAGTTTAACTGTCAGCTTTTGGACACGTCTCTAAACAAATAGAATTTGACGGGCATATTACCTTCAACTTCTTTTCTTCAAAAATTCCTCCCTTCCTGTCATAATTATTGCTTTTTTTTATTTTTGTAAGCAAATAATGCTTTGATGAAATGCCACCATGCATGGCATAATGTTGGAAATGGTGTGTCAAAGAAAGATGCATCTGGAGAGATTACAAGGAAATCAGATTATGTGTAGGGGTAAACTAAGGAAATGAAATGGCACACTGTATGGGAGTGGAATGAAACCGATTAGACTTGGGGAGAGGAGGAAAATAATTTGAATTCCCATGGTATTACACAAGGAGTTATAGAGACCACTGTGCAGGGAGATCTAAACAGAAAAAAAGCATGTTAAGGGCTGTCTTGCTTAATATAAGTCGAAATGTGTAAAACATATTGAATGTGGGTTCACAAATGTGGGTTTTTCATCTCAATGTGATCTGTTTGTTGGAGCTTCTTGGCTCACAGTCTTGACTGACACTCAAATATTTAACCCTACAATAGGAATCCAATCCAATTACACTGACAGCTATTTGAGTATTATTAGGGTTATTTGCACTTAGTCAGTTGATCCGTTTTTATTGATATCATTGGCAGCAAATACTCAGCTCAATAATAGCTCAGGAGGTGATTTGAGATGCAACTTAAGCAAATGTAAATGTATTTCCTGAAAAAAAAAAACTATACTGTTGCTGTCATTCATCATTAATACTTGAACACCTGCAATAAAAGTGACAATAAAGGCCCATTCACACCAGTAAACTATAATTATTAAGATAACAATAACTATATTACCGTCCTCACCAATTCTTCAGTTCTCTTTTAAAGTGTGGTGGATTTTGATTGGCTGTCAATATTTTATATTAAGGCTGGAATACACTACGTGACTCTCTGAATATGAACACTAGGCATCATACACTTGCTGACTTTGTAAATGGTTACAGAGGAAAAACTGGGGATCATACGCTAAATGTGTTCTAAAATAGGCTCAAAATATTAAACGTTTGATATCCTCAGCAAAGATGGAGTCATTGCCAGAATCTAAAAAATGGAACCTGTTCCCATCATACACTTCTTGATTTTCTGTGAAATTCTGTCGACTCAAATCTCTAGATTGGCTCTGGTTTTTTTCGACAGCCAGTGTTGACTCGTCCAGAGTGTAAATCAGTGCAAAATTCGTACAACGCATTCTGGCCTTTAGTCGTTATTTAGTCGCTACTCGCATAGATGTAGAACAATTATTAATGTTATAGTTATCGTCTTTGGTTTAAAGATGCTCCATAATCAGCAGACATATATTTAAACAAAGCAAACTTACAGTAAACATAAACAATCAAATTAGTTTATCTTTTGTTGACCCACCATTGCTCTCGAATCATTGTCAGACTTAAGACTGATTGACAGACTGATAGGTTTATGTTGAGATTTTGACAAAAATAACAAAAAGCACTTGGTTACAAATTTCTCGTTTTTTGCTTTTAATTAAATCTTTGCAGAAAACCTTGTATTCTGTATAACCCATGTAATGCAAGTTTTGTCCTCTACCGACCTTGACAAGTATTAAGACTGATAAGTCAGTTGTAGTTCAGATAAATAGAAATTGTCCACCAAATAGAAATTAATAGTATTTTGCTCTAGCAATGCTTTGAATGAAATATTGTACACTATTATGTAGGCTCTCATTTGTTCCCGTTTCTACAGCATTAAAAATCTCCTGTCCCACCAAGCAACCCAGCATACCATCATTTCAGGCACTTGCCGTCTTTAGCTCTCAAACAAACAAAGTGGCCGTGAACAATAATGAGATGAAAATTGTTGCAAGTGAGTAAATGTGACTGGCTTACTCACATTCACACTTCGACTGCGATTATCAAGACTTCACTGTAGAACAGTGAAGCATTTTCTAATGGATTCGTGTTATCGGTTTGCATTAGTTCAATTTATGTGTGTACTGTGTGCATTCGTCGTAAAGAGGAGAGGATAAATTATTTCTTGCTTATTCAGAGGCAGGCTGAATCTATTTCATTCTTTACACCCCACATAAAAGTCTCAGTCAATAAATAAAGAAATGCAATTATTCTTCTAAACACCCCTCTCCCTGCACTCAAATGTATACATTTAATGAGGAAAAAAAGCTTACTTACACAGATAAGCAAGTTGAACACAACCATCGCAACTTTGACAAATGTGAAGCAGCCCATTTTTAATCTGTAACGAAGCAATAAACATAAATCAGAGCTGCATTTGGTATTTTAATTCGCTTTACATACACACATAAACACGCATACAGTACATGTTGACTCCTTTACACTTAAATCCATTTAAATCAAATTTTAGTATGCTTTTGTAGCAACTCACCAGGTTTGATCCAAAGTGCACTAATAGATGAAAACACAGTTGAGTGAGATGTTAAGTGAGAAATAGGCAGCGAG